TATTGATGGGATCGGCGAACTAAACACTCTGCAGAAATGATGTTTGCCAAATTGTGGTTACTGAAGCAAAATTTCAGTAACCACTTTTCCACTTGTCATAGGTATCAGATCAATAAGCAGATGAAAGTCGCTTTAAGTCCGCTTTGGTAGCTCTGATGAGGACCAAGGACAGCGAGTATCTAACACGAATATGCAATCTAAATGCGGCTTCGGATTCATGCTAAAAGTTAGTTAATTCGTTTTATTTTGTGGGACTTGATGGGCTTTGATGATGAATATGTGCTCATGATGCAATTTGTTTAACTTATCATAAATACCGATGATATTTACGTTTCTTATCGAGAAATCATCACATTTTTGTTACTCGCATCTCCTTAGTGATTCCTTCACTCGTTCTTTGAAAGTCGAATCTTTATGTTATCTCCACAGGTTTCGAAAATTAATCACAACTTGGAAATTTCAAAATCGCCATTTTTCTTATTAATTCAGCTCTTACAGTCAGGCTGCACTTTTAAACCATCTTTGCGACTTTTTGGCCCTTTGGAACAATTAAGGTTGTTAAAGAGGTCAAGTAAGCAGAGGTCCTTTTAGTTACGCAAAACTGGAAGTAAAGTGGAACGTGTGGGATGGTCAAGTGGACCGAAGCCACCTTAAGCTATCCTCTTCAGTGACTTTTCTGAGGATTTTAATTCAATTAGTCGCGACTTCTTTGTCTTCACAGACACAGTGACGCGTATCGAATTCACTAGCGGACACATTTTTGGCACTTTAGGAGAATCAACTTACATTTTCCGGGAATTTTTTCCTTATTAAAAGACGTCTGTTATTTTTTAAGACGTTATGAAGGGGTCCCTAAGGCACATTTTTGTTCACAGGAAGCTGCTAACAACTATTATTCTCTTTCAGTCGCATGTGGTTTATTTTAAACTAATTCCATATATTTGCTGAGTATGCATTGTGTGCAAAATATAATTTGCATTGCATCCTTGTTTAATTTCTCTACACTTTGCACTGGTTTTTCAAGTGGTTTCATTCTAAACACCTTCTTTACTCACCAGGAGGATTGAAAGGTTGGGCTTCACATTAGAGTGAATTTAAAAGTATATGTGTATAGACATTTTGAATAAAATATTACTTTGACGTTTTTGATAAATCATTTTAGAAATAGACATCTTCCTGTCAGGCTCTAAAACGCAGAAGTACTACCCATAGGCCGACATGTCTGTGGCCAAAAATCTACCTTGAAGGCTTGTGGCCAAAGCCACAGTTCACTTTCCGCCCAACTTTGATTTGCATCAGGGTATTGTTTTTTCGTATCTTTGCATGACACACCCGAGAGTAAATGGCACTTGGATCGATGCCTCCCTGTTGTATTTAAGTACATGGTATACCTTTTCTTGGCTTCGATATCATCTGTCATTATGATTTCCTGTTATTACGCCAACCCAAGGTGAAGTAAGCGCCTGTACGAACATTTAAGTGAGGACTTCTCCTAAGGCCAGGGAAAGACCTAATAGCAAAGTGCAAATCACTTTAATGATTATGCTTTGGGTGTTGATTAAGCTAGGCCTGTACACATTATCAGACTCCTTTTTGTTTACTTGTCAATTTACAGTCATTATAGTGGCAGATCATTGAATCGAGATTGTTCCTTCTATGAGTGCAACTTCCCGCCATCAGTACTGCGGCTAAATTTGAGTACCTATAAGAATGAAGTGGCATTAGGGCGTCATGTCAAAGAATGTTGTATTTGTCCAGTCTTTGACCAGTTTTTTATTTGACACACCCTAACATTCATTCATGCTTAATAGGAAGCAATTAACAGAAATTTGGTAGCCCATTAACCTGGATCCATAGGGCAAATGCGCCGTAGCTATAGCTGCCGTTGTGTTGCACTTGCATTAAAAACCAAAAATCACATCAACACACTCCCCAGTGCTTTTAGCCCAGTTCCTGCAACAAAGTGCTAACCAAGTTGACGCTTTCACTTCCCTCTCTCCTAGATGATTTTTTCGAAGACCGCATTTTCTTTTCCTTTCGCCCTACGGCTATTCTTGGAAGTACAGACGAAAATAGCCGTAAGTAGGTAATTAAATGATTGCGTTTATACGTGGATATTATGCGCCATCAATAAGCAAGCACTGCAAATGGCCAAGACGCTTCCGTGAAGTACTGCTTACTTTCCGTTTCTTTGTTTAGACACTAAATGGTGGCGTGTGAGTCACCATGTAGTGGCCGTTTGGCCTCTATCTATCGGCCGCGTTACTGGCCTTCTTATCCCCCGTCTCCGGGCTGATCTATTCACTTGGTGTACTTCTATTTTGCCAGCCCGTTGGTGCATTTATCCGCACAGCATGCAAAAGGCCGTGTCACAGATATCTCTACCAAACTTAATTTGACATTTACTTGACTGCATTTGGCCACATCGACTAAAATTCCCCCAATAAACTAATCTGCCCACAAATCAGAGTCACACCGTAGTCCAAAAGTCTGAAAATAAAGCATGCTATATAATTTTGATCATTTTAGATGAAAGCTTTACACAAATTGATATTTTCATGTCATTTTTACGTTCACTTAAAAAAGCATGATTTAATATTGCTTCTATTTCCCTTTTTCAAAATAGCTCCATCACAATTGTAATTGGTAAGAACACTATCATTTTTGCACATAATGTAGTTGTGATGTCAAAGTGTTATCAATCTCATTTCAGTCAAGGTGGTTTAAAGATTTAAACCCTGCTCTAGTATAGGTAGATAAAACTTATGACAGTTTTAACACTGACTCTTGCTTCGCTCGTGAAGATTCCATTTTACTTAAAGGTAACAAGATGATTTTTTGTAAAAAAAGCATTTAGTGAGGTGTACGGAATGCTTATGCACCTGAAAATACCTTGTCACGAGAAATTATTTCGAAAGAGGTGGTTGCTAGTATCTCGTTCCTGTCAAAATCGATTTTGGAATCAATGCCAGTCCACATTTCGTAGCGCAAGAATATATTTTGTGGTTGTAATAATTTACATGCAACTAGCCTAAATGCTCTTTTGAAATGTCTAAACAATTTTAAATTTCTGATCTATACTAACTAGTAATGTAACAAACAGATTATGGTCAGAACTATGATTTTCCTCAAACACGTCTTCTTTCAAGGTCTTCTAATCCTTCAACCACGCAGTCATATGGCATATTTCTAAAGAGATGGTTAACAGCCAATAAGAATCGTGTAAGATTCAAGAAATTTCTGGTTACAAACCTAAATCCTATATCAAACACTCAATTTCATAACGGTTTTGATCAAAAAATAGATTGTTGGCATAAAGGCAGAAAACTTCGTAAATGTAGGCAGAATGCTTTTAAAATAACAGTCAACTTAAAAAATCCATCACAGTTCTGCTCATAGCAATCGTCATTGATAAACATCATCATGGTTCTGCTATTTTTTGAATTATTTTTGATATTCAGAAGGCAAAAAACATGTTTAGGTGACGTACATAGAGTAGGAATTAAGGCTTTGGAAAATAAAAAAGCACTGTAATTTCCCAGTAAATACTTTGCTAACTTTGTCCGACTAATTGTGTAGAATCCAGCGTCATAAATTAATGAAATTGTGAGACTTAATCGATTGGACAGACTGCTGGCTCTCTTGTTGTTTTAGTGCGACCAGGAAAAATTGAACCAAATGAACAATATTTGGCTTGACTAATGGAACGCGTATATTGTGTAGTGAGATATGTTAGTCATTAATATGCTAGAATTTTTGCTTGATTGAAGACATGAAAGTGTAAGAGCTTTTCTATATGGAACTTCAGCCTAAGCCAAGAATTCGAAATTACTCAGGTGGGAAAAAATTTTTCTTTATACAGTGTCGTGTTTTAGTTAGGAATATCTTAATTGATTGCTACATTGTAATTTTCTTAAATGTTAACCATCAAGTTTAATAATGCCTTCAAATTAGTTATCAAATACTAATTGCCGTCTTTAAAAAATACCTTATTTTTTAGTTTTTAGCTTACTAATTAAGACGTTCGCATGTTGCAAGCTGACCCCACCTACTGAATAAACA